TAAATAGATTCTAGTAGAATCGTGAGATTATTTATTTAAGTGTAGTAATTGTTAAACGTAGTTCCTAGTCAACGGGTTACGCCACTAATGTGGATATCGTTCTTTCCCATTTGAGACTAGCACTTAGTGTATGTGTATTGCGTCTCATCCGTTAACGGTGTTGTGACATCGACATACATACTTGGGTGCTCATAAATTGATGAGCTCACTGAACTCCCTCAATCTAGAGATCTTAAGTGGTTCTCAATAATCGAGTAGAGGTTTCTATGATATAGTTGTACACCATTAATCCTTAAGACCCAGACATCACTGTGACTTCACTAGAGGACCAACGGGGGACCGCCCCAAGGGCCAGTGTTCATGCAGTCCGAGATCTAGTGGGAGGTATGTGCATTGTTGTAGGGGATTCAATCGCTTGATCAACCATAAATATTATGTGTGTTCTTACAATTTATAATCCATGAAGTTTGCGGCCACAACTGAAAGTGTCGTGATTAGAGAAATGTGTTTCTCTAAGTCAAACACGAATGGATAATATAATCAAGAACGTCCACACGTTATTTAACTCATAAAAAGGTCTCGAACAACCAATGCTCTAGTTCAATCAGGATATATGTATCGAAGAGATTGTATTGTACGTGAACTATATCACACGAGGCACTTCATTTTTATCTAGGGAATTCATTGTGTGGTTAAGTTGAAACGAGTTTAATTATAATTCTAGGGACGAGTTTAAACCACAATGTATTCTGGGTCCACAACTAGCTTACACCTGAACCATCGAGGGTCACACTGCTCGTGTACTTGAGATCCTTAAATGCAACGAGCTAAGATTAAATAGTTAATCTTAGTATAAGTAGAAGTCAATGTGATTGAGTCCAACCCAACTTAAGCACGTTAGGTTTTTCACAAGTACCATATAAATAGGATTTATATGTCTTGTGAATGACACACCACACAAGCATGAAACACTAGCCTCTCTCCCTCCAACAACTGCCCACCTTGCAGCCAAAACCCTACATCCGCCACCAGCCACCGCGCCGCCGCTGCTGCATTGGCATCCTTCATTTTCCCCTCGTTCTTGTTCGTTGTACTTATCCTATCATGTATCTAGTGCTACGTTGATAGTTAATTGAATCTGCAAGGTGAAACTTAAGAGGAAGAATATTCTTCTGCCACCACCGCCGCCACCAGGGTTGTCTTCACACGCCCCCACGCACCTCCACAAGCCGGTGCTAAAAGAAGGCAATTCTGAAATATTGCTCTTGGATTTTCTGCGCAGTCCAGCAAGAAAATTCGCCATAAATCAACTAATAATCGGATGTAAGTGAAATTTGGACAGCAACTTCACGATGCATGGATCTAGAATGACTATAAAGGAATTGTCCACCCAAACAATAATCATGGAGATATTGAATTCGGAGCAACCCTTTAATTTCATATTAGAAAACAAGTTGGATCGGTATGACTGAGAAGAGCAGCTAGCCATCTTCTCGAGTCTTCGTTCGATTCACTCTTCAAGGGTAAAATCTCGTTTTCCCTGATTAATATATATTAATTAATTTATATTAATTGAGATTAATTTATGTTAATTTATTTTTGAATCACATGAATCTATGTTCGATTGTGTGTCTATTAAGTCGTTCATTGAGCATGTTTATTATTTGATTAAATTTCATGCTATGATGATTTAATTTATGTTAATTTATTTTTGAATAACATGAATCTATGTTCGATTATGTGTCTATTTAGTCGTTCATCGAGCATGTTTATTATTTGATTACATTTCGCGAGCATGCTATGATGATTTAATTTATGTTATTTAAATTAATTATATATACGAGCATGTTTGTCGGTGATAAGAAGCTAAAAGATACGCAATTATGATAATTAATGTGCACGTGTTTGTTTATACAAATTAGTTTATATAAATAATTTATTTTTTTGTGTTGCGTACACGTGCCTGATCCCAACAGTGGACCCGCAATATTAACTCACTACTCACCCAGTTCGCTGGGTAGATGGAGAGCATTGTAGTCGAGCGAACTCATCGTGCGAGGATAAGTTTTAACGATTACTCTCCCAGTTCGCTGAGGTGAATTGGTCGCATCTAATAGTGTTGCGCGTGGGAGTTAAAAAAGAAAAAAACATGCACGGTATTTAATGAACCCAGTAGTTGATAATGATTCATTTCCTAAGGTTGCGTTATCTGACTCAGATATTCATGCTATCGTCTTTTCGTCTGCCCCCTTGTCAGTTATATTCCGCAATCCTAGATTACGCAAATCTTGTACTTAGGGTGTGGTAGCGTCTTTTACTTTTGAAGCCAACGGGCGACCTTTGAGAAGTCTGGCTCTATCTGTTTTTGAGAAGTCTGGCTCTATCTGTTTATTTAATGAGTTGTCGTGTCCTTCTAACTTCTTCTGACGTGGCCCTCTTGGCATCGTCAAATCTCGTTTGATCCAAGGGTGAATTTTGTGCCTCTTCTCTTTGTGTATAGTATGAATAGAGCGCATAAATCCATGGGATCTTTCCTCACTCTTTGTTGTTATGTCTTCTGCTTTTGATTTTTCTACATTCGATTCCTTTTACTGCGGTTTTGCGCTATTTAGTAAGGAATCGTTCCCTTTTTTGAAGAGCTGTTGTACCCTCCGCTTTTTGTCTTAGGAAAAATGTCCCGTTCTGCTCAAACTCCTATTACCCTGAGTGATCCCGATGAAACTCCGATGACTAGCCCTACCACTCATTCTCCCTCGTTTCCCTCACTCATCAGTCGGCCCCAGCTAGCAAATCTAGACAGGGTGACCGAGTTTCGAGAGGGCTACAAGGCCTTGGTGGCTTGTGCCACAGATAATCCAGCTCGTCCTCCTCGAGATTGCGTGACTTTTAGTCCTCGAGATTGCAGGTCTCTCCTTTCCCCCAAAACCTTTTTTTTGCCGAAGTTTCGCGTAAGTACAAAGTCTCCCTCAACCAGTGTACTCCTCCGACGATCAGCCAGATGAGTTGTTTTTATATCATCAGCCGCTTACTCGGTATTGAGCCCTTGGCTACGTTGTTTTACTATTTTTCTTCGTAAAAAGGGTTGGTCCCCTTTCTTTTGGCCATTTCACCCGTTATGAGTCCAGCATCTACTGCGATCTACCGAAAAGTCCATCGAACTGGTCGCGGAAGTATTTCTTTGTCTGTTGCCCCTATTAGTGGTCCTTCCCCACCAGTCATGTCTCCGGGACTCCATTCCACGGGCCCTTGTCCAGCAACCTGCAATATGAGGTGGAGACAGTAAATAACTTCTTTCGGCACTTTATGATGAGTGTTGAAAAAGTGGTAGTTTCGCCTCTTCTGATGCGAGGCTTTGACCTGTCAGTCGCAAACCTGCCCATGCCCAGTACCGGGGATATTGGTAATGATGTGGTTTATCGCCAGCTTAACGTACCCGCATGTGGTATGTTTTCCTTCTTTTGTATATATAATAATTTTTCACCTTGCTTCCTCCCTTTATACGTATACCTCGTTTTTTTTTTTTTTTTTTTTTTTTGTGCTAGAGACGAGCCTGCTCAACAGACTGATTAAAAGAGGTAGCCCAAGCGAGCCCTTCGAAGCCTCCTTGACCCGATCTCGATCTCCGGCCCGAGGGGTTGTTGGTCTTGATATCGCTCCATCGACAGCCCTCATGCTCGCAGACGCTCACGAGCATAGCGCGGCTCGTGACCGGGCCAACGAGATGCGGCCCACCAGGTCCTCTCTTATTAAGGAGCCTCCTGCAAAGTGATCGACCAGTGATTCAATGCCCTCTGCTCCAACTACTTCTTTGCCTTCCGCGTTTTTGGTGTCTTCAGACGTTGAGCGGGACGAGCTCGTGGTCTTTTTCGCTAATTCTGTACTCCTCGGGATCGAGTGTCCATGCAAAGCTCTTCTGAGGGTGCAATCTTATAGCGTGCTTCCATGGGCCTGGGCTAGGTATGCCTCGTCGATATACTATTACGGTAACCTGATCGTATTTTAGTTTAAAAGTCCGATTTCCATCCTTGATGCAGTTGACGGGATTTTTGGTGAATCGTGCCTTTGCGCTGAAAGGCATTGAGGTTACTCCCGAAGTTTTCTGCCTGCGTGAAAATTGCGAGATGGCGAACAACTTTTGTATGAAGTTGCGCGACCAGAAGGAACAACTCCAGCATAAAGTCCAGGCCTCGAAGGAGGCGAAGTTGCTTCTCTGACGCATGCGGAGGCCCTATAAGGTCGTCTTTGTGCTTCCGACCAGCGTGTCATTGAGCTGGAGAAAGAGTTGTCGCGCACAAAGAACGAATTTAGTCGTGACTGAGTTGTCCACCGAGCGTGAGATCCAGAGAGTGGCTGATTATCGCTCTTTTTCCATGTAGCACGCGAGGCGAGATCTTTTCGAGAAGTATCGTCTCGCACTAAACATGGGTATGTCAATTCGACCCAATTTTTGGACGATCTTTCTCCTTATATGGAGTTCGTCAGTCTTTGTTGTGGATGAGGATTCGATTAGGGCCCGTCTTCCCGCCAACATTGTTCCCAGTTGTTGGGAAGGCGACATTGGCAAGTGGGGTTTTCTTTATCGTCCTTCATCCTTGCATCTGATTGGCGAGCCAAGAGTTTTTTATTTGCGCCGCACACTAGCCTTATCCAGAGATTCGGTCGGCTAACCCGGGGTTTAGAAGCCACGCGCTATCTAAGGCTCCCCTCCAGCTGACTAGCCAGTGGGTACTGTATAAAAAATGGGGTTCTTTCTTCACTTTTTAGTTTTCAAAGGTCCTTCTCTCTACCACCTCGTCTTCCTAGGTCTTCTTCATAGCGGTTGGCGGTGAGTCCGAGGCTTAATCGCTTTACAGCCAGATTTCCAGTTGGGGAATTTTGGCTCCAGGTAAAGACCTTTTCCTCCGAGGCTTTGTCAGAAGGAGGCATGGTACTTCAGGTGAGCCTTACATTTAAATTTCTTCAAGAGGTTGGCTAACCGAGTACTTTACTAACGTCTTCAGGAGGTCGGGGCACCAGGCACTCTGTTAAAGTCTTCAGGAGGTCATCAAAACCGAGCACTTTGATAATGTCTTCAGGAGGCCGTCGGACCGGGCACTCTGTTAATGTCTTCAGGAGATCGGCAGACCGGATACTCCGTTCATGTCTTCAGCAGGCCGGCGGACCGAGCACTCCGTTATTGTCTCCACGAGGGTGGCAAACCGAACACTTCGTTAATGTTTGCGGGAGGTCGGCGAGCCGAACACTCCGTTAATGTCTTCAGGAGACGGCGGACCGAGCACTCCGTTTAATGTCTTCAAGAGGCCGACAGACCGACCAATCCGTTAATAAGCATACAATTTCTCCTTTTCATGTTTTCCTTTACAAAAAAAAAGGGTTGGGAAAGATCTATTCATTCAAAGGGAAAGTTAACAAAAGGAGAGGTTCGAATCGCCCTGCTCGAATTCTTACAAAAGAGACAAAAAAAGAAAAGAGGCGCTGCCCTGTCAAAGAACAGAAAAAAGTAAAAAAAGACCCGATCGTCAGGCACGCTTTTTCGTGGTGCATTCGGGTATCCCGTCCTACAGACCCGGGTTGTTCACAATGTCACGCTCAGGCATTGTCCCTCCCGTGCCAGCTCATTTTCCACAGGGGTTATGAGTGGATCTCCTGCCCTGGGCCAATCAATTTCCCCCTCCCGCATGACGCGGGTTGTAAGCCTTGTTTCGGGATCTCTGTCCGGATTTTTTCTCTTCTTGGCCTCACGGGCCACTGGCATCTCTTCTTCCTCCACCTATCCTGCTTGGTTGTTCCTTACCGTTGCATGCCTTCTGCTTTCGGATCCCTTCTCCGTAGCACTCCTCCGAGTCCCTTTGTTCACTGACCACTTCTCCTACTTGATTCCCTACAGGGAATTTCATTGTTAAGTTTTGGGTGGAGGCTATGGTGTGGAAACGGTTCAACGCTGCCGCCCTAAGACGACATTATTGTCAACCAAATCAATATTAATTCTTTTGGTCTTGTCGTATGTTTGGCTTTGTTCAACGGATTACTCTATTACACAATAATAGTGACTTTTGTTGTGTTAATATTATTGTGCTAGAGAGTAATATATCAATATTATTGTGTAAAACAATAATATATTTAATATTACTGTGTTAAACAGTAATATAGTTAATGTTGTCAACCACAACAATATATTGTTTAAAGAAAATGCTCTTTACGGTTTAATAACTGCTATTTACCGTTCAAAGTAAAAAACAGTTTATCTCTCTAAAACCCCTAAAAATCTAAATTCTCTCCAAAACCACCCCTTTCCAAAATTTGCAGAAAATTTTTTTTTTTTCGAAAAATTTCGAAATCAACCAATTTCTTGCTTGGGCTTCGATTTTTTCAGGTAATTTCAACACCTACATGTGTTATATGCAATGGGTAACTCGATTTTGCAACCAATTTCATGTTTAAAAGCCCTACAAATCGATTTGTAGGGCTTTTGAAATTTTCGGAATTACATGCCAAACAGCCCAAGTCGGAAATATACACATATATACACAAATACTTGAGGGGTCCAAATGGGCCTCATCAAATGGCGCCGTCTGTGGGAAAATTTGAGTTATAGACGTGCGTGTATGTGATTTTAAGATTTTTTTTCGGCTTTGTTTATCTCCTTTTCATCTCACACTCTTTGTTTCAAGAGAATCAGTCGATGGTGCAGAGATCTTATCTGGTTCCTTTCTGTAAGAAGAAATGGAAGAGGGAGAACTGTGGAATTCTCGCGTTATGCGACGGAAATTTAGTACGTGAGCCAATTGATTAGATCAAATGCAAA